CTGAGTGGAGAGGGAGACCCGTCACTGTAACGAAGGCTCCAGAAAACCTACCAGAGAGGAAGATGAGAGAAGAGCTGAGGGCCTGTGTGGCTCTGTGTCCTCCTGGTCCAAACGTGCTGCTACTGCTGCTAAATCCTTCTGACTTCACAGACACACAGCGACAAGCCCTGATGTCCACCCTGAGTGTGTTTGGAGGAGCTGCCCTCCAGCACTCAATGGTCATCTGCACACACGCAGGGACTGAGAAGACTTTCCCTTTCCAGTTGTTACTGAGGGACTGTGGATGGAGGCAGTACAACATGCAGGACTATGACCATGAACAGTTTATGCAGAAGATTGACGGCATGGTACAGAAAAACAAAGGGGCCTTCCTCACCATCAGAGACAGCAACCCACAACCTGACCGGGTCCGGCCGGCTCTGAACCTGGTCCTGTGTGGGAGGAGGGGAGCCGGGAAGAGCTCAGCAGCCAGGGCCATTTTAGGTCAGACAGAGCTTCTCTCCAGCTCATCAGAGTGTGTCAGACATCAGGGAGAGGTGTGTGGACGTGGGCTTTCTCTGCTGGAGCTGCCAGCCTTGTGTGGAAAAGCTCAGCAGGCCGTGATGGAGGAATCCTTCAGGTGTGTCTCCCTCTGTGATCCTGAGGGCGTCCACGCCTTCATCCTGGTCCTCCCTGTGGGTCCCCTCACTGATGAAGACAAGAGGGAGGTGGAAATCCTCCAGGACGCCTTCGGCTCTCAGCTGAAGGACTTCATGGTGGTTCTGCTCACTGTGGAGTCAGATCCTACAGATCCAGCTGTTGTTAACTTTGTAAAAGGAACCAAACACATTCAGGAGCTCTGTCAGAGGTGTGGAGGAAGATCTCTGGTTTTCAACATCAGGGATGAGCAGCAGGTCCCAGAGCTGCTGCAGGAGGTGGAGAGGAGGATGGACAGAGGGGCAAAAGGCTTCACAAAGGACCTGTTCACCAGAGCTCAGATGGAGAAGGTGGCGAGAATCAAAGCTGAGCTGCAGGGCGACAAACCCAGCACTTTGACTACCAAAACCAGGTTGAACCCAAGGAGTGCACTCAGGATGGTGCTGGTTGGGAAGACGGGCAGCGGGAAGAGCTCCACTGCGAACACCATTTTGAACCACAAACACTTTGAATCTAGAGCCAGCATGAGATCTGTGACCACGGTTTGCCAGAAACAAAGAGGAAACATCTGCGGCCGGCCTGTGGCCGTGGTGGACACTCCTGGCCTGTTCGACACGACTCTCTCCAATGATCAAGTCCAACGCGAGCTGGTCAAATGCATCGGCATGCTGTCTCCAGGCCCTCACGTCTTCCTGCTGGTGCTGCAAATCGGCCGATTTACGGAAGAGGAAAGACAGGCGTTGATCATGATCAGGAGGATTTTTGGAAGAAGGTCAGCAAACTACATCATCGTTACGTTCACCAGAGGAGATGAACTTGATGGAAAGTCGATTGAAGACTACATCGAGACAGAGTGCGACGACTACGTAAAACAGCTGATACGCGAGTGTGGCAACAGGTACCATGTCTTCAACAACAAGGATCAAACTAACCGCACACAGGTCTCCGAGCTCCTGGCCAAGATCGAGGGCATGGTGGCGGAGAGCGGCGGTGGCTGCTACAGCACTGAGATGTTTCAGGAGGCCGAAGAGGCCATACAGGAGGCGACCAGGAGGCTGCTCAAGGAGAAGGAAGAAGAGATGAGGAGAGAAATGAGGGAACAGGAAATGAAGCACGAAGAAGAGATGCGCAGCATGAAAAGACAAATGGAAGAGCAAATAGCTAAAACTGAATCGGAAAAAGAAGAAATATTACAACTTCTAAAAGACAAAGAGGAGTACATCAACAATGAGCGTGAGCGGAGAGAGAGAGAACAGCAAACCACAGAAGAAGAAGACAGAAGAAGGAGACAGGAGGAGGAAATTGAAAGGCAAGAATGGAGAGACAAACTCATCAGTTTGGAAAGTCAAATTTCCGAATCAGAGTCAAATCAAGAGCTGCTCAGAGAACTGCAGGAAACCAGAGAGGAACTGAGAAGACGGCAGGAAGCCTGGGAGATGGAAAGAGAAGAATGGTGGAGGAACCGGTATGAGGAGGCCATACTGAGAAAGGAGAGGGAGGATATGAGAGTCAGAGAGCTGAGAGAAGAATACGAACAGGAAAAGGAGCGGTTAAACAGAAAGATGAGAACTGACTGCATCAGAATAAACCAGGAGGTAAAAAGAAGAAAAGATTTACAAGAAGACCACGCCAAAAAAATGGCACAGCTGATACAGACGCATGAGGAAGAAGCCAGAAGTAAAGCAGAGGAATTTAATCGGTTTCAAGAAAGATACACCAGAGACTTTGAGTCCCTGATGAAACATTACGACGAAGAGTTAAAGGATCTGACGGTGACATGCGAGATGTTAATGAGAGAGAAGGAGGATCACCAGAGAGAGTACGCCCACCTCCACAGCCTGTCCAGACACAAAGAGCAGACACTGAGGAAGGAAATGCAGGAGCTGAAGGAGAGGAAACGAGAGGAGCTGAACAGCTTGCAAAAGAAACATGGCTGCATCTTAGCCTGATGACTTTGTCTTTGACGGTCACTTTCGTCCATCCAAATGGACGAAGACA